CTCGTGAACTCAAAGCTCAAAGATTTACTCCAACATTTATTCTATTGATGTGCGTGGCGTGCATGGTTTTCCAGGCGCTCAGTCCTTTATCAGTGACAATTATGAATTATTTTGGGTATTGTGTTCCTCTACCAGGACTCAGGTCGCTCAGTGTAAAGGAAACTAAACAATAGCAAAACAATAGTCCACTTCCGACTTCCAAAAACCCTCACTTTCACAATGATGCTAGGTGCACAACCTTTCTTGTGAAAATGAGTTTTATTTGCATGAGAATGAAAAATGATTTTCGTATCAAAAGCTGAGAACCTACCCTCCTTTTGAAACAGAGGCCCGGGGGAACTCGTTAGAATTCTACGCTTTATAACGTCCAGGTAAACAACAGAAACAAAAACCATTCGGTCAATGATTTTTGCGTTAACCGTTTTCCTTATCTAGGATATTAGTTTCCGTCTCTGTTTCTTAAAAAGGATGGAAATTTTCAATTCCCTTGTCTTTTGATAGGACTAATGTTTATAACCTTTTACGGGTACACAACTCTTAAATTGGCCGAAGATCTTCACGGACACTTACTGGTACTTCCGTTTTACTTTCTAGTTTCCTAGCCGTTCAGGTCAGGACAAGACCGGTCCCAAGATGGGGCCTCGTGATGAAAACCCCCACATGAATAATGGTGCCATTGTTCTAACAAACGTAGTGAGTACAAACCGTTAAACATAGCACGTATGTATTTAAGGGAATCAATCACGTTTTTGGTGCAATTGCTAGGGCCTGTTTACACGGTGGTGGGAGACCCCAGATAGGTGAGGTAACATGTGGCGGGTCACCCAACGTATGATGTAAACGTGATGAAATTAATATGGCCAGGTGGGTTACCCCACCTAAGCGGGTAACCTCACTTCCCTGGGGTCCCCCACCTCCATGTAAACAGGCCCTTAAATGTGGTCTGACTCGCGGCGCAAAGATCATGGGAAAGCATCAAAAACACAGTCACAAGGAAAGGCTCAACATGAAAAGCTTTCCGTTTTGCTCCATGCAACCTCGTTCCCAGGGTTATCTCTCCTGCTTCTTTCACGAGGCAAGAGAGAGAACCCTGGGAACGAGGTTGCCTTCCCATGACCCCTTGCGCAGCGACTACCTCAAAATATCCCAAGAAGCGCCTGGCTGCGAGGCGGGGATGTGGTTGTGTTTCACTATGCCGCATCAATTTAGGTCAATTTACATGGCATAATATTAGTAATTTAGGGACGTGTTTTAACTAGCGCGTGTTTTATCAAGTTTCGCGCCGATGGATTTTTAAACATGCTCTTGTTTTAAACATACCTTCTAAAAGGGTATAGAGCTCAAAGGTTTTTTTTGAAGGAGGCAACAACCATTATTCAATTTCAATGCTAATTCACATTTAGATAAGCCTACAGCTTGTTCAAGGCTGTACTCATTCTCGTTAACATATTATTCCAGAGCCTTCGCCTTCGCATTGCTAAATTACTTGCAAGTCACATAAACGTTCAAAAAATGATCGAGGACATGTATAGCTCTAAGTCTCTCTCTTCCGCAGAGGCTCCCGCTGGGTATCCTTATTATATATATAAAAATAGCAATAATCGAAAAAATAGAAAGCGCGCAGGGGACGATAGGAAGAGGGAAAAGGCGGGAGCCTCTCTTCTGTCTTTCCCCTTTCTATCGTGCCTCGCGCGCTCTCTTTTTCTTTCTCCCCAGCCTCCCCACAACAAAAAGAGGCCTCTGGGGAGGAGAGAGGCTCTAAGTCCTAAGATTCTGGTCCTAAGGTACTGTGAACCAGTGGGCGTATAGTGGGAAGATAGGATTCTTTATCCAATGAACGACAAAAGCAAATTGCGTGTGGTGATATCAAAACAGATTTTTTTTTTTTTTTAAATCTTGAACAGAATGCCATAGGTACCCTTGGCAATCACACGGGTGGAGTTCAACAAGACCATCCAAACAGAGACAGCTTACCCAGCCATTCTGCAGTCAGTGACAAGGGAAGAAGGGCAAAGGCTTCACTCAGAAATATTTCCACCGTGGCATGGACGATAATAATAGGGGATACTCTCCATAACATCAGTGATGGATTGGCCATTGGTGCCGCTTTCGCAGAAGGTGGAAGCTCGGGTGTGTCTGGTGGAATCAGTACTTCTATTGCTGTGTTTTGTCACGAGCTGCCTCATGAATTGGGTAAAGATGTTAATTTTTAGTTACGTATCTGACTGGGCTGGCCGTTAGACGATATTTCTATTATTCGTATGAATGCATTATTAGCACTTGAATCTTAACCTAATCAATAATACACCTTGTTTCCCCCCCGAAAACAACAACAACAAATTGCATCACCTTTGTTTTATAACAAGGAGCCCATTTGATTTATTCAAATTCTTTGGTACAGATTTAATCCAATCAGAGGCCAGCTGGAAACTGTCCTCAACTTCTGATTGGTTAATGTCTGCATGAAAGAATGTGAGTTATTTAAAGGTGGTCACACTTTTGGGAATCTCGCTGTAATTTCTCCTCGGTATTAGCGACGTCCCAAGAAATTTTGCAAAGGGACTGGAGAGGGGGTGGGGGAAGGGGCGGGGGGTAGGGTCCTGATCCCGCATTCTTGCTCCTGTTTCTCGAGAATCCCGCATCCCGCATCCCGAACTCCTTTCATCGCTATCGCTATCCCGATCCCGAACGTCATTTTCTTTCCAANAATTTCTCCTCGGTATTAGCGACGTCCCAAGAAATTTTGCAAAGGGACTGGAGAGGGGGTGGGGGAAGGGGCGGGGGGTAGGGTCCTGATCCCGCATTCTTGCTCCTGTTTCTCGAGAATCCCGCATCCCGAACTCCTTTCATCGCTATCACTATCCCGATCCCGAACGTCATTTTCTTTCCAAATACCGCACCCGTGCCCAAATTTTGCTAATTATTTAAACCGTTATTAAATTATTGATATTATTGTCTATTTTAGGATCTAATCACCTATAAAATTTACAAACAATGGTAATGTAAGGCTGATTTATGAGCAAGGGAAATTTTCTTGCTTTTTCACCCCGGGTCTTAACTTTTAAGAGACTGACCTTTCAATACAGGTCACCACCACGTGATCGGTCATGATTGGTCAACTCGACAATTAACTGTACTTCGCATTTTCACAGCTGATAACTACAATAACTGTCAATAATAGAGAACTTACAATTTATCGTTTTTTTTTTTCTTACATCACAGGGGACTTTGCAGTTTTGCTGACAGCCGGCATGACAGTCAAGATGGCATTGTTAGCCAACTTATTTTCTGCCATGTCTTGTTACATCGGCTTAGCAATCGGTATATACGTTGGTCAAGAAGCTGATGTGCGTTTCTGGATCTTTGCTATCGCTGCTGGAATGTTCCTTTATGTGGCTTTGGTGGACATGGTAAAACTGTTTATCTTACGGAGATTACCAGTGCTTTATGCCATAAGATATCTATATACGAAATAGCCCCTAGTTTCGGACAGGTTAACCCCTTCAATTAAGCTTGCAAAACAGGCTTTTTTCCCGCGTTTCTTTACGCGGGCACGAAGCGGGCGTGAAAGGGCGAGATGAGCGCGACGGGGAAGGCGCGAAATAAAATTCTTCCGTGCCTTCCTCCATCACGCGTGTCTCGCGCTTCACGCCCGCTTCGCTCGCCTGTTTTGAAGGCTTCTTTCAATTAGGTGCCCTTCCCCAGGCTAAACGTATCAAATAAGTGCCCCTGCTCCCCCTTGACACCCAAAATAAAAGCTATTTTAAATAGCTTCGCTCGTTTATGATATATCACTCGCAAAGTTCGCACGTTCTTTAACTTATAAGCGCTTTATCTTGCGGTGCTGATGGATTTTCGCTATAAGTGCCCTTAATTAATAGTGGAAAACAAAAACCTGGAAGGTTCTATCCTCAAGACAAAATGTCAGTAATTTGAGTTCAAATCTGTGAAAGGGTATGAACCCAGGAGTCATTTCATAAGTAGGTTGATTATGGTCTTTAGGGTGAACGTAGTCCTGAATAGTAATGTTGTTGACAGTGACTGAAGTTTTGACAACCTGTGCGGTAGTCATCTGCTAACTAAGTAAGTAAGCAAGCCTTGCATTCCAATGTTTTAACCGGTAATTCTGTCATTTTTAATACAGCTTCCTGACCTGATGCACAGCGAGACTCTTCAAGAAGAACCTGTCCCTACGTTCTTGTTACAGAACTTGGGTTTGCTCCTAGGATTCGTCATTATGCTGATAATTGCGCTCTTTGAGGAGGACTTGATGGCACTTGACATATAGCACAACTTGAAATGTGCAGTCTCGTTTAAAGGGAGGGAGAGGGGGAGAGGGGGTAGGGGAATTGTAATGCAAGGGAGGGGAGGAGAGGGATAGGGGGATTGTAATGCGCAGGTCGGAACAACCAATGATAAATAACATTTCTAGGGTGCCTTCTCACCGTATAGTTTTATAAGTAAGGAGATAAGTTTACAGCTGACACGGCACCATTTTTACTAATCAACCAGACTCAGTAGTACGAGTTTTTACGGTTAAGCATTTCATTGCAGATATTTGTTTATAGTTTCAAATAATAAATGGCAACTCACCTTTACCGATTATTATCTGATAATAACCCCTGAAAAGCTGTACTTTGTTAAAAACCACTTATAAGCTTTTGCCCGAGCAATTTGTAGAGATTGTTGAATACTAGAGAGGTGTAACGCTCAACCTGGCTCTTGTTAGTTTTGGAGCGATTTTAAGGAAGAAAAATTGAACTTTAGGGCCCTTTGGTTTTTAAAAAACTGACATTTCTACTGCATCCAACCTTGATCAGTATAGTATATAGTATATAGTTTGTGTTTCCGAAAAATCACAAACTAGTCTGTTTTGTATTTTAAAAAGCCAACTGGAAGCAGGTCATTGAGTTGGTTAGTTCTTTCCACAGTTCCTTCACAGGGTTTTCATATATTCATTATTTCAATGTTGAGGTTAAAAAAAACCCTGTTATTTCTAAGTACAAAGCACTAATAAAAATGAAAACTCTGTACTAGAGAAGCCACAATAAAACGAAAGAAAGCAGCGGAAGACTTTCTTATCGGGCTAACTTTAGTGGTTTTCATTGGTAATGAGAAACTACTCGCTTACAAAACTGTTACTTATTTTACTTATACAAAGAACGTTTTACATATTTAAGCAAGCTTTGATTACAATGCATGCACCATGTGGAAATAAACATAGTGAGATATTTAGAAGGAAAATAAAAGGCATTTACTTTGAAAACAATGGCACAATCGTTATTGATGTTTTAGAACACTCCTCTTTCAATCAAATACTTTTCACTGTTTTACGATCTTAACGCCAGGTTCCTCATTGCCACAGTGTATACGTGTACCGAGTGTACCATTTCTAGTCAGTCTCAAGTTTTTGTCCATAGCTAAGTAAATTTGGTAAACTATCCATCAGAGAAATTTTGGTTGTGACGTCAGCGTACACTCTTTCGGGGGAGGAAAGGAATCAGGTGTCAGCCCGTCGGGGTAGGAGTATGTTATATTTTCTTGGCGGGAAAACGCACGATGCTTTTGGGCAACCCGCGTTTTTCTTGACGGGAAATCGCGTAGTCATTTTAAAGTAACAAATGGTAGAACTGGGGCGTCAATTATTTTAAAAAAGCTTGGCTGCCCCTGGTCTGTTTCAACCAGCTGCTTGGTACCTAGATCCTATTGGATACTACAATCCCTCTTGCTACAGAAGAATTGCCTCCTCTCTCACAGTAACACTTTTGTTTCTTTCATTGTTATAGTGACAATTTTCTCTCTTTTCAAACATCCTTGCTATGCGACAAGCAAAAAATTGGTGAAAACTTTCAGATAAGTCTTCGTTCTTTAAAAAACTTAATTGAAATTTCTCACCCACTTGATTTATTCTTTCTTCTTGCGTGGCTTGATTTCCATTTACAACCTTGTTTGTCCGTAGAGAAGACGTCTAATCCGTTCCAGGCCCTTCTAGGTTTCTGGGAAGAGGCCTGGGAACCAGTACAATCTTTCATTGGGTGCTTGATCGTCTACCCAAGCCATTTCCTCATGAACCATGTGATCCTATAATAAATAAAGCATCAAATTGAATCGCGAATCTCAATTTTGGTAGCCACTTGTTTTTTTTTCGTTTCTCTGCTTTATTTATCTTTGAGTGTATTACAGTGCAATTCGGATTCCAATTTTATTGTTAATAGCAACCTTTGATTTGACTATGAGTACAACCTTGGCTTATTACGAGTACATGTACGGGCTATAAATTTTTTCCTGTTAGTGACTAGTATGGTACATATCGTTAATAAAAGCTAGGGATAAGGTTGGTGTTTTAAAAAAGAAATTATATGAGGTTCTTGAATTTAGTTTGAAAATTTGTACTTGTACTCAATCTCGTATCTGTAGTTCAATTGACAGAGATGTACTGACAGCGATTTCTTATTAGGATACATAACAACTTACCAAGGTTCGTATCGCACGATCCCGTTCCCATCCTAAATCTTTTGCGATGACAGAAATTGATGTATACCCATTCCCCTGTGAGAAAAAGATGGAAACTGTATTGAGTGCATAGGAACTGAATAGTCGTCACCTCATTTAAATACAACCCTGTACATGTTATCTGAACCAATAATATCTATTGAATGAGGTTTTTGAGATATTCTGAGAAATCAAGGTCAAGATCTTGATTATTCAGTTTCTACTTATGCAACACAGAGCACACATCCATAACCTTTTCCAACAGTTTGGACCTCAAGATACTAGAAAGGCGACGGCAGTGAAAACATTGCTTAAAAAGTGAATTCACGTTCTTTCAATTTTCATAGTGATTATTCCAACTCACTTAATGGTGCGGGCAAACTTTCTTGGAGTTGAATTCCACATCCAAGTTAAAAAAAACAAACAAACAGACAAAAAAAAAACAGACAATATTTCAACATGGCTTGTTAAGTCCTCCATAAACCTTGAAGTTTCCCATTTTCCTCTCTTAGCCAGGCACTAACCACAAAGAAATGTACATTTAAAAAGGGTGCAGCACATACAAAGTTGTTGTCTTGCTTCGTAACCTTATTGCCTTTTTTGGAACAATTACAACAGCAACAACAACAACAACAACAACAAGTACCTGGGCCTGCTGAAGAACAGCAGCATGATCCATGCTAAGTTCTCCTGGTACTGACTGAACCAGACGCTTGTTCCCAACTGGAATGATCTGGAAACCACTGCCCAAGATATGAAGCTTTTTTATTGCTCGAGCCAAGTCATCCCTATAACATTATCCAAAGACAATAAATGGCCCTTAATATGTGATTACGTCAGATGAGTAAATTTCACCACCAAGCCTCATTTGAAGGCAAAATTCTTTGCATTTGCACTTCTTGTGTGCGGGTATTCTTTCCAACTCTACTGCCTTGGGAATTCACTCTTGCACTTATAATGATCAACTCACTCTTGCACTAGTATTTAGATTTACACTAATATTTAGATTTAGGGTTACTTTTGTCTGGAAAATAGGCCATTTCTGAGTTCCTCAGGACCTCTGTATCAAAACGAGGTTAAGTGCTCGGCCATTGATATGGAAATAATTTTTCATTCTCTGACAAATAAAACTCATTTTCACAAGAAAGGTTGTGCACTTGGCCTCATTTTGAAAGTGAGGGTTTTCGAAAACTCGGAAGTGGCCCATTGGACATACATTGTTAAGTTTAGCTGTGTCTTTATCAGATATGAAGACACTCATTAAAGACACTCATTGCTTTTTCTTTATGAATTATTAATGAGCTTTTGAATAGGCGTAATATCATGTTGACATGAATAGGACCTTTGCCTTTGCAGCTGGCAGCATTCATTAATACTGACATGCATTTCCCGCATTAGTAACCTACTCAGTCACATCTTGTCTTGACTTGCTTGTCTTGAGAATTTTTTTGTGCAAATCACCCAAAGCCATCAAACCTGTACAGAAAAAAAAAATTATGATGCTCAACGATAGAGGTCTATATGGAACTCTCCACAAATTGACTTGAAGATGAGCTTGTCTAATTGCTTCACATATAAAATTTTATCAGGAGAATAATTGAAGTGAAAGACTAGAGGCCCCTGTATATATATTCTGTCTGATGTTCTTAAATATTTTCAGAGTTACACCTGAGGAGAGCGTTGGGATTTTCAGTTTTGCAGATATGGTCATTTTTGAGGTCAGTTTTTCAGCTTCCATAATCTTTCATAGTTTGCTTTTTCCCATTATTTTTGCAGTTCATTTCCCTTTTTCGACAAACCTAAAGGTGGCCATCTGGATTTGGTATTCCGTGCAGTTTCCACTTTTATGCAAAGAATAAAAGAGGACCATTTTGTGTGGTTTCTTATATGGGCCCCAAAGCCCCTCAACCTACTCAATAACCCTCAACTCCAGTATGTTTTCCAACCGGATCACATGCTATGGAGCGAGTTTTCAAAACTCCCTAGAGTGAACAAAACTCACTTGCCAGGATCAGGTCATGTACCTTGAAACTGTGGGAAGTCTATATGCCTGAGTCACATCAAGTAAATGACTTGGCTGAAAGGTAAATGACTGGCCCAAGGGAATCTGTGCATTTTGTTTTCTCAACATCCTTGCCAAGGGGGCATTGGGGGTTAAAAGAAAACGAAACACTCTTTTCCTATTTATCTCTATTGGGCCCAGTCATTAGGTGCTTATTTGTTTTAGCTATGAAAGCACTTTCTTACAGAGTAAGTAACAAATTTAAGGTTTTTTTGTGAATAAATTGTTCATTAGTTTCAAAACAAACCTCCATTTCTTGGTCTTGTTGCCATGCAGATTTCAACAATCTGAACGCCCAACTATGAAAAATACAGAAAACATGGAAAATGTTGATTTTGAATTATTCAATGCAGCTTTAATTTAGGTTATAACATTGACATAATTATAGTTATTACTAGCAGTGACAAATACTGACAGCCCAATGCAATGTAATAAAATACATTTGTAAATACCGGTAATAATCCACAAGCAACATTACATGTATCTCTCTCATCTGATCTGCTCCCCACAGCTTTCCTTAAAGCATTTTTAAAAACTAACTCCTTGGGTTTAATTTTGCTAAGTTATGACATTATTCTTTTTATAAAAGATAGAAGATAGAAAAATGAATCATGAAACTGAAATTAAGTGAAGAACATAAAGTCTGTTCTTTTTTATTTCTGTTAGTAAAATCAAAATCTTATCATGTCTCTTAGTGATCAACAAACAGCTTGTTATTGTAAAACTGTTGTGACCTACTTCTGCTAAACTTACCTCATAGTAAAAATCTCCCACACCAAGCAGCTCTGCCCAAAAACCTTTGCTTGCTATAATATATTAATAAAACTTTGTATCAGAAATAAAGCTTCACTGATTGAAGAACAGGAATTTTTGGTGTTGTTAGTACCGGTACATGTAAGTATAAATCATGAGCAGAAGAGTTCTGAGATCTAAAAACTCTCACTTTCAATACAAGATTCATTTGCATGAGAATTAAGAATCATTTTCACATCAATGGCTGTGTTCTTCGCTTTGAAACAAAGGCTTGAATGACTGGTAGGTGGAAGTAGGTGAATTTGGATCTATGTGGAACAAAAGGTCCCCAAAGCTAAGATGGTCGTGGCTATTCATACCATACTGGATCTATTTCTGGGCTTGCACCAAACTAGTATGGTGTAAACTACAGCCTACAAAAACGTGACTTACATGCAAGAGGATCAACACCAATGCGAGCACACATTTGCTGAAAGTGCCCTCTGAACTCTGGATTCTTCCTTATGTCCTGTTTGTATTTCCCAGCAAAATCTTCCAGAGATGTCTTGAAGGACTCCAGCTGTTTACCCATCTGAAAAGTTAACAGAACCAGAGGAGGAGCATGCATGCAGTTAGCTTTCAAGCAGGCTCACTTGTGCGAATTTTGGGAAAATTTGGGTGGCGGAGCCACCACCCAGTGACGAAAAGTGAGCCTGCATGTGGGCTATTGACTTTTTAATGCTCTGTGTTTGTTGATGAATGTAGCAATCTAATAATAACAATTTATAAGTTAAAAGTGACATGCTTTGAAAGGCTACATAATTATGACAAAAAACCAAGGACACTGGTTATAAACATCCACAAAGTGAATGGACATACAAAGTGTCAGTTGGCCTGCCCTTAACTTTTGCCCCATATGAAAATTTATAGTTTTCTTTCTAAGGGGTACCTTATTATGCTATGGAGGATATTTCTTTAATAATTTGGATCAAGCAACTATTCAGTAGCCTCTTTTCGTCACTTGTCTCACAGTGTGAGGTCATGAAGGTGGTCTTTCTTCAAGCAAACTCATGTCAAAAAGTAGGCTGTTTCTTACAGGTAGATAATACTATGGAAGGATTCTTAATTTTAACTCAGCAAATGTTATTTTTGCTGCTTGTCAACATGAAAGTGGTCTTTTCATAGATCTCTATTTCTGTGGTTTTCTGACAGGATTTGACCTCTGATGCACTTTTGCATCACATTTCCTCTTGCAGCTTCCCCTAATTCTTATTTACATTTGCTTTGCTCCTGTTGTATAGTATCTTGACACCTCGAAAGGGAAGAAACTTAAATATCAACAACCTACGTGTAGGCTCACTTTTCCTCGCTGGATGACGGCCCTACCATCAAAATTTTCCTTGAATTCGCAAGTCAAGTGAGCCTGCTTGCAGGTTAGCATGCAATAATACATCAAAGCTGCAAGATACTTTACAGCACGGTGTATCTAGTTGAGTCAAACAGGCTTACATTTTGTGCCTTAAAAATACATTCACGCAATATATCAAGCAATTTAACAATGGTTAAGTAACTTTTACATGGAGTCTATGGCCTTATGAGTACCCTGAAATTACCTGTGACAGCTGGATGTCCGCAATCTCTGTTCCCTTTGTGGCATACTTTTCCTGAGGGGGAAGATAGAAAATATAAAGAAGTACTAAAAAGGAATATATTTTTACATTAGGCAAAAATTGCTCTTTAGTGATGGGCTGGACTCTCTGTGGAGGAGGACATTGGAGTTTACAGTATTGTGGTACTGATATATTTTTTTAAGCCATATTTCTGTTGTTATTAAAATTTTAACGTGTGGTATTGCAGAATTATTCAGCCCTGTGGGGTGCGGTTTTCATCACTTTGGATGACAGTATTTTGATTAAAGAAGATCCTTCACGGTATTGCCGTACCATTCATTTGCGCTCTCCTGTCTAATAAAGGTCAATACAATTACAACACAAAACACAGTAGGCATGGTTTAAATGATTACACAGTTTCAGCAGGATTATCTCAGTCAGTAGAGTGCTTGACTACAGAACGGGAGGTTGGGGTTCAATTCCTGGGGCCAAACCAGTACTCAGGGTCTTTAAATAACTGAGAAATGAAGGTTCTTCCTTTGCCCCGTAAATGGCTAGATCTTTGGTGGCTCGAATGGCCACATTAAATGGCAGTCCTGNTCAGTCAGTAGAGTGCTTGACTACAGAACGGGAGGTTGGGGTTCAATTCCTGGGGCCAAACCAGTACTCAGGGTCTTTAAATAACTGAGAAATGAAGGTTCTTCCTTTGCCCCGTAAATGGCTAGATCTTTGGTGGCTCGAATGGCCACATTAAATGGCAGTCCTGCCTCCTGCTAAATACATTGACACTGCAATAAAGTGCTTTTTTTTCCTGGCAGTTAGTCTACAAATTATGTGATTGTTGTTGCATCTAATGACAAAGCTTTGTGATCTTTGCATGTTTTCTCGCAATAGCTGAGGTTACTGAAGGTGTTGGCAAGGTCATTACACTGGATAGATGCAAGCATGACTGATTATAAATGCAGTATCGGTATTTTGTCGAGTTTCGACACGGTATTTGGAAATTTTCCAATTTTTCTTACAGTATTGCAGTATTGGGTACCCCCAAATGTCCCCCTCTCTGAGAATTTAGGCCACCCAGTCATTTTACATCCATCTCCCAACCCTCTTTTCCAAGCTCCGGGAACAATTTTCTTTGAGGAAGTACAGCACTAGTGTGTAAGCTTAAATATGATAATATTACTTAAAAATAGGATGGCCCAGTTTGGCTACGGTCCAAATGCAGTTACAGTTGCTCAGGTAGACAATATATAACTGAAGGATTCCGTAAAAGCTACAAAACAGACACTGGAGAGAGCCGTGGGGAGATAGAGATATTACTCAAGGCGCTTACATGAAAAACATGCGTGTAAAATTATTAAACAATCTGTGCTTACTTTAGCAAGACGCTGCCTATTTATTGCACCAACTCCACCAGGTCCTCTCCGCATTTTAAAAACGCAAATTTCAGGTCAAAACGAAGAGCGACGCTCAAGAAGAAACGTGTTTACAATCCGCCATATTCAGCGGTAATGCGTGCGAGGAGAGCATCCCATGATGGTAGTGGAGTGTACGACACGTGCGCACTACGAAGCAAGGCAAGATGGCGGACGCGGCGGTGACAACTGTAAACCTCAAGAAATTGAAGGTATTTTCACCTATCTTTCGCTAATAGTGGTTGATCCCGCAGGAGAGAATGCCTAGTAGGCAATATTTTTAATGTAGGCGAAGATAGCGGTCAATCTGACTGATCGGTTGCAGGTAACAGTGCGATTCAAGGAAAGCTGTTGTGAAAGTTTAGTCGACGATAAAAAAACAAAGCAATGTTTGTTGTACGCAAAATGAGTTTTGCGGATGCTTCGGTGATTTTAACAACTATTTTCCTGATGAAGAACGGGTTCAAGCGAGTATAAAAGTGTAAATCCTGTCAAGATCTCTTATGTACTTGAACAATTTATTAACTAATATATTTTCAGGGCATGAAGCGATGTCTTCAGTTCAGCGACCTCCCAATAAAATAAGTAATGCATAAAATTTGTTGTGGTGTTTAAAGGTAGCTGAGTTAAAGAAAGAGCTTACAGACCGTGGCCTTCCTACAAAAGGCAATAAAAGTGATCTACTGGCAAGATTAGAGAAATGCCTTTCTGAGCAAGGTGAGACGATTGCTATTCTTAAACTGCTGGATTGCCAAGAGTTAGTGCCTTTTTATTTCTGAATAAGATGTAGCTCAATCGGGTACTTTAAAAGGGGCCAGAAAAAAAAGAAAATACATTGTTTGGCGTGACTTTTAACTAGGATCGATCTCATGATAGGGGGATTGTTATGTTTATAAATAAATGTATTTGTCAGATCCTCTTTTTACCTTTTGAATGGTTAGGTGTGGTTGTAAGCCAAGATGAGAATGAAGAGATCACTGATGATCATGATGTAGAAGATGAACTGGACAATGATGCTGATGACCTAGATGATGTTGATGATGGAGAGGATGTGTCAGAACATTTGGTCACAGAGGACTCTGAAGAAGAAGCCAAAGAAAATAAGGCAACTAAGGTGAGTTGTTTCAAGAAGAAAAATGTCCATCATGCCAGGAAAATCTGACAACAAAAAATTTTAGTCCTTGACTAGAGCTGCTACAATGCCAATATCCAGTTACACGTATCTTGACCTCACACTTGGTCAAAATAATATTATTATTTATATGGCTGTCTTGACAAGCAAATTCTGTCTTCTGATTGGCTACTGGAGCAGACTATATGGACCTTGTATCTTGGTTGCTCAGGATAACCTTCATAGTTACGTATAGTTTCTGCCAAAAAAATGTTCTCTAGCAATTTTGTTGCCTTTTTGACATTGTAACTTATAATGTTGTTCTACTATCCAGGAAACTGTAGAGGTAGAAAAACAAGAAGAACCTTCTCGTCCTGTGTAAGTACAGTATAAAAATACATATACACTTGATATCAATACGATACAAATTTGTTGTCTGTTAAATTAATGCTTGATAATAAGGCACACACAGGTACAGGCAACGGAGAATTTTCAGATTTTACACAGTGTGATAAGGTATTTTTTTATCTATCCTTAACCNCCTCACACTTGGTCAAAATAATATTATTATTTATATGGCTGTCTTGACAAGCAAATTCTGTCTTCTGATTGGCTACTGGAGCAGACTATATGGACCTTGTATCTTGGTTGCTCAGGATAACCTTCATAGTTACGTATAGTTTCTGCCAAAAAAATGTTCTCTAGCAATTTTGTTGCCTTTTTGACATTGTAACTTATAATGTTGTTCTACTATCCAGGAAACTGTAGAGGTAGAAAAACAAGAAGAACCTTCTCGTCCTGTGTAAGTACAGTATAAAAATACATATACACTTGATATCAATACGATACAAATTTGTTGTCTGTTAAATTAATGCTTGATAATAAGGCACACACAGGTACAGGCAACGGAGAATTTTCAGATTTTACACAGTGTGATAAGGTATTTTTTTATCTATCCTTAACCGTAAATATTAGTTGAATGCTCAATGTCAGAAGGCCAATGTACTCATAAGTGAAATAAATAAATAAATAAAATGTAAACAAATAAAGATTTGGAGGTACCGCATCCACCAAGTGGTTCTTTGTGTACCTGGTTCCTGGTCAAATTGGAATTGGTTTTTGAGGAGGGGGGAAAACCGGAATACCCAGAGAAAAACCTCTCGGAGCAGGGGAGAGAACCAAAAACAAACTCAACCCACATATGGAGACAACGTCGGGAGTTGAACCCAGACCACACTGGTGGGAGGTGAGTGCTCTCACCATTGCGCCATCCATGCCCACCAAAGTTTGGCATAACAAATATTGCAGAAGGTTTTGTTCAGTGGTTCTCTTGTATTACAAATTTATTATTTCTTTTATCTTGAAAGTTGTTTTAGGATGTATTTTCTTTTACTTGAAATCCCCATTAACTTGAGCAAGTTCGATCTTCTGTTAAAAGATAAAAGATTTTTCATTTGCGTTGCACTCAAACAATATAAATCTTCTAAAGCACTCAAAACAAAAAAAAAAACTGGCAAACATGAGCATATGACAAAAAGTACACCCAGAGAAAATGAAAATAAAACACTGCAATCATTTGACAACAAAATTATATACTGTGCAAGAAATGATTCATTGGACAAATGCCAAATGAAATCAAACAGTCTTTAGAGCCTACTTAAAACCCTGAACATTCCATATACTTCTGATAGCTACAGGTACAGGAAGAATGTTCCACAGTGAGGGGTTGACACAAGAGAAGGCCCTGTCCTGGAGGGTCTTCCTAACACTTATGTTGTCACCACAGTGTGCATATTAGACTGTTCACAGTCTCCTATTTTTTCCATAACATCATGAAGGTCAGGCGTTTATCGTTATGGGCTGCCACCTTGATTTTTATTGTACTTAGGGTTTAGGCTTCAAGATTTATAGTGGTGGGGGGGGGGGGGAGAGATGAGAGAAATAGGGCAAGAAAAGGAAAGACATCACTTCCTCTCACCCCGCTAAGTAGAGGTGATGCCAATACTCACCCCCAGGCTAGAATGGGTATATTTGAAATGAAGATGGCTGCTCATAAGCCACTTGATCCCAATGATCTTATGGAATAAAGAAGACTGTCAACAGTCTTTGTTCATGTATTAGCATTACACTGCTCATTTTGAAAGCTTTTCTGAGAGTATTTCTATTTTTTTGTTTTCTCATTTCCCAGTAAAAGGGTACCTGTCACACCTCCAGAAAAGAAGCCTGGTGAAGTAAAACTGACAGATGAACAGGTGAATGCATTATTTCCCGTTATTTGACCCTTTAGCCAATGATTATAATGTGGCTAGTTTGTGTGCCTTGTATATTTTAATTTAACCTCTGAAAAATGCCTTCATACAGTATAGATGAATTGATGGGTCTAAAGTACAGGTCACATTCCACAGGTTGATAAATTATTTAGCCACACAGTTTCCCTTCAATTTAAAAGACCATTTTGTAAAGAGATTAGGGATAGGAGACACTTTTGGTGCTGTTTATTTGTCTTTTAACTTTAGCTTGGTGACCTGTACTCTGATCTGTGGAATGTGGTGACCTGTATTCACGTTTTTACCAGTCAACGGTTTGGTTTATTTAACTGTAAGGTTTGGTACAACAGTGCAATTACAAGAGCTGATCACAGCTGATCACCCAACCAGTTTCTAACCATGCCCAGCAGAGCTTAACTTCATTGGCAAATCCAAGTTTCGCGAGGGTTTGCAAAACATGTATTATTTTCTAGTAAAATGAGTAATTAATTTTTTTATACAGCTTTAAGTCACAGATAACAAACTGTAAGGTTTGGTACAACAGTGCAATTACAAGAGCTGATCACAGCTGATCACCCAACCAGTTTCTAACCATGCCCAGCAGAGCTTAACTTCATTGGCAAATCCAAGTTTCGCGAGGGTTTGCAAAACATGTATTATTTTCTAGTAAAATGAGTAATTAATTTTTTTATACAGCTTTAAGTCACAGATAACAAACTGTAAGGTTTGGTACAACAGTGCAATTACAAGAGCTGATCACAGCTGATCACCCAACCAGTTTCTAACCATGCCCAGCAGAGCTTAACTTCATTGGCAAATCCAAGTTTCGCGAGGGTTTGCAAAACATGTATTATTTTCTAGTAAAATGAGTAATTAATTTTTTTATACAGCTTTAAGTCACAGATAACAATTTTGGTTTCATAATAGAAAAAGGCTCAAAGACTGGCAAGATTTGGTCAGTCTTCCCCAGGGACAGAAGCTGATAAAAAACAGGCTCGAGCCCAGAGGTATGTTAGTACATGTAAATCTGCTTAACCTTGGTGAATGTGTGTGGCAGGAACATGGTGAAGTTGAGTTCAGTGCATGATAGTGCATGGCAAGGTGAATTTTGTTAAAAGCGTTACTCAATCATACAGTAAATGTGCCCTTTGACAAGAAACGTTTGGCTCTGCAATGTTTTTCATGACCCAGGTGTAAAAAGTGGTAGCAGTCACAAAAAAATTAATATGCCCTAAAATGAAGAGTCATGATAGCTTGGTCACAAGCAGCCATAAAAGTTGTGTCTATAACCAGGATGATCTTCTGTACGTAATTTTACCTCAAGTTTATACAGATAGCTTTCAGTTGTTGCTTTTTTCAGGTTTGGGTTATCCAGTCCTACAAGTAATGGATCCAAAATTAGTTCTCCAATTGTTTCACCAAAGGTAATTGTCATTAAGTACAGGCGCGGATCCAGGGGAGGTGAAATGGGTGAATTTTCACCCCCCTTTTTCTGAGCCCCCTTCTTTCTTTTTTTTTCTTATCCCTCAAAGTTGCTCTTGCAAAAGGTTCGTGTGGAGAACTGAAACCATGGTCTTGCCTGATCACAAACTGTGGCAATAACAAAACAGTTTAAGGACTGTTAAGCTTACTCAAAGCTATTACCAAGAGAGGAACTACGCGCTCCAGTCAAAAGACTCACACTATCTTTAGAAAACACCAAGCTGGAGTTTACTGAGTCACAATTCAATTCTCCATAGTAAATTTATGTAGCTACAGTTTAGGCTGCAGTTCACTCTTATAATTTTGGATCTGTAAGTCACTATCCGTGATAATTTAACATTCTGCAAAGAAAACTGACGACCTGGGCCCAGCGTGATACAGCATTGCAGAAAAACATTACACTCACGGACTAAAGAAAATCGTTTAGTTATTCAGATCCAGAAGGCACCTTGGAGGAAATTGGAACCCTTTTTCAGCCGCAATAAAAAAGCTTTATGCTTCAAAAGAGGTCAAAAAAATGCGCTTGCATCAGAGGGCAAATCCTGCCGACCCGAAAACAATAACTACAGTCAATCGATATGTATGTCACGACCTCTCAGTGTGAAACATGCGGCTAAAATCACATTTGGTCAGTATAAATGCAGAACCTTCCAGAGCATAATCTACCCAGCAGATAAAAACAATTTTACTGGAATAAGCAGCATTTTGGCATGAGGTAAAAGTCGTGTAGGCCTACCACCCCCTTTTATTGCTATTCATCGGAAATCAATCATGCTGATGCACAGACCTCAAACACCTCAACCAGGCTGGATCCGCGCCTGAAGTACCTGTTGTCACGAAAGAATAGGCCCTTCACAACTCAGCATGCTTCTTCTTTTGTATTTCCTTGAATAATAGTAGGGGGCAATTATTACTTTTTTCGCACAGAAAGGGGGCAATAGCTTTGTATTTGAGGGAGGCGATTATTTGAAATATTTGAAGTCGTGCCCTTAATATTTTGTTTTATTATATAGACACAAGTGTTTTACTGGAAAATATACCACTCGCAAAATTCATAAAAACTCCATCTGGGACCCAAGTGGTTTATTTTCCATAATATCACATTTGAGTTTATCGATAAGGAAATTTCAGTAATTTCCCTCAATTTTTTTAGCGATGTATTTTTGTCCATATGATAAAAAGAACATTACACGGCGGCTTGAAGATATGAATTTTATTTTCTCATGGCAAAAACAAAATTTTACTCACTCGCTGTGCTCTTTTTAAATTCATATCTTCGCGCCACCGTGTAATATCCTCTATTTATTATCCCATTAAATCATAAAATGATCACATCAAATAAACTGAACATGGGTTTTTTGGGTGTTCCAAATTTTGGTTCCTCGATAAATTTTCAATGTCAAATATCCTCAGCATCAGAGCTTGGATCATTACTGATCAATGTTCTGCTGAATCAGAAACTTGACAGTGAGGGGATAAAAGATTGAGAAGATGACGAGAGGGGTGGGGGGAGGCAATAAATTATTAGAGGGAGGCAATTATTTTAAACATTTCTGTCTAAGGGCAGCAATTATTCGAGGGAGGCAATTAATCGAGGGATGGCTGTTATTCAAGGAAAGAAGTTATTTTGTCTTTCTAATCCCAGGGCATGGATGTTGAAAAACTTAAGCAGAGAGCTGAGAGATTTGGAGCAATTTCTCCTGTGGTGACCAAGGTACTCATAGCTCAAATGAAACACTATTTTTGTTGTTTACTATTGGTTTTTTGCGTCTTGCGCAAAAACCTTTTATACATGATGTAGTAATCCCCAGCTATATATATATATTTTTTGATTCACAGCTTGAAGAGAAAGATAAATTACTGAAGAGGAAACAAAGATTTGGTGTCACTGTGTCTGCATCTCCATCAACAGATGCCGATGTAAGTTTTGTGTCGCTACGGCGACTATGTCATGCTATTTTCTATCATTTTAGCTAAAAATGAAATGTGTCTGTACATCAATTGAATTCCAAAACTGATGTTACAGTTTTGTTAAGACCATTATTATTTTAGATATTAAAACTGTTTCCTGTTGTCTGTTGCTATGGATTGCAAGGATGGGCATGGATTTAAACTTGAAAAAATTAGGCCAAGTTTTCATACTACGCCTGCAAAAATCACCAAAAAAGCATAAAGTTGCTGCTCTCTGATGAAATTTGTCTGATTTCTTCTTTATAACTGTACAGAATCATTTTGTGTATGAGTAAATGCACTAATTAATGACTTCAGCACAGCAATATCCTCGTCACCTAGCCCCTTAAAGAGCTGTGTCACGAAATTCTGCCAAATTAGGACATTACAAAATGCCTGTTAAATTAGGAGAAACATAAAAATAACTGCTTAAAACATTAAAGGAAGGTTAAAATAACACAAGAGAAACAACAGGTGCCATGGATGGGCAAAACTGAAGAAGATTGAAACAGATTGAAATTAGGGTTTTTGAAAACTGTTCAGCCTAACAGTCTTTCAAAGTTGATCCCTGCTGCTTGCAACTTCAAAAATAACGCTCAGGAGACATATTTGTTTGTCTCGGATCTCAGATTTTGTCATTTACATGAAATTTCTTTGCTTACTTTAACTTTCATAGCGATTGAGGGCGAGTAATTGGCAAAATTAAGCGAAATGAACTGTACTGCTATGACACAGCCCCTTTAAACAGTCATTTAAACTCATCTTGACAATAGATGAGCTTGGGGAAGGTGCCTGGTAAGATGGTGGAGCCACTGAGTACAAGAGCCGACAATTACGATAACCTTGACAACCCTGTGAGTGACAACCACCAGGCACCGTCACACTGAAAAACAGCGGAACAATAATACTTACCTCATGCTTACCACAGAGAAGTAGGGAGAGCAGGGAGTCAATTTGTTGAGCGCAAACGAAAACAGGCAGAGCACACGTGAGATTGAGTTGACGTGGACAACGTTGCTGTAAAACCACGTGACCCACTGCAGACCCCTTGACCACTCTGCATGCTCGCGACAGGGGAGGCCGCCAATCAGCGTTGTTTCGCGTTTAACTTAGGTTAAAGTAGACAAACATGTTGTTACGTAACTATTTTATCTTAAACTCTCTGTATTGTTGCTAAGAAACGTTTATTCTCTGCTTATTTCTAGGCCAAAAAGAAAAAGAGAGCTGAAAGATTTGGGCTGTGAGTCGTCAACAAGTTATTCAGAATGTTTTAAGCTCACAGAAGTTCGGAAGACATTGCTGGAAGATGTCTTAACATACATGTAATTATTGTGATATACAGTGTTTTCTTCATTCTCTGCACGAGAACGGCCAGAGGAACTTGTAAAACCTCAACAGACACACGTAAAAAAGAAAAAGTGCTTCTACTCATAAGCAAGCTTGACACTTGCGGGGTCAAATTAATACCAAGTGTATCAAAAATTATTAAGTCCGCTGCAATCAAACTCTCACCTTTGGCTTATCGCGAAAGTCTTCAATGTGTTTTGATGGGCACGGGTGTGGATGTAACCGCATGTCAGTGGATTGTTTTCTTTGCCGGGGAGTCAAAACGCAGGACGTACAGTTGAGTGCCCATACATGGCTGTCTGGTAAAGGTTACAAAAGCATAAGGTAATTATTAGATCGGGGGTTTCTTTAGTTTTCGCTTAACAGCTAAACACTGTCAGCTTTGCGG